CGCGGGCGGCCCTGGGGGGCGCGGGGGCGAGGGCCCCGTGGGCAGCACGGCCTATGTCGTGTGTGGGGTCATCAGCTTCGCCCTGGCCGTCGGCGTCGGCGCCAAGGTGGCCTTCAGCAAGGCGTCGCGTGCGCCCAGGGCGCACCGGGAGATCAACGTGCCCAGGTGCGTGTGCACTCGGGAGGTGCGCGGAGGGGACCGGGCGGGGCGACAGGGCTGCCAAAGCGAGGTGGGCGGGGCGGGGATTGCCTGGGCCGGAACCCACTGGGCTGCTGAGCAGGGGGAAGGGAACCCCCAAGCCCTATTCGATCAACAAATATTTATTTCTTGAGCACCTTCTTTGAGCCAGGAACTGGGGATGCCGCGGGAGCACATCAAGGTCCCGCCCCTCGGTCTGAGTTCCCCGCCCAAGTCTGCCTATCCGGCGAGGTGCTTAGGCCTCTCTGTGCCTCAGTTTCCTAGTCTGCACAGAGGGGCTAATAACGGTTCCCGCCTATTGGGTTGTAATGAAGACGCGCTGAGTTGGTTCCTGTCGAACCTGGCATACAGGAAAAGCTCATGAGATACTGCTGGTGCGGTCAGTCAGCCAGCACGTACACAAGCAATTTTAGATGCGGGTAACTGCGGTGAGGAACGCAGCCGCGTGAATTGTTGCGAGGGGATGTCAGAGGAGGGCTGGTTTGGACTACGCGGCCAGAGAATGCCCTTCTGAGCAGGGTCCTACAGGAAGGGTGGGGGCCCAGCAGGTGTCATGTGCAAAGGCCCTGTGGTGGCTTATGCCAGACCTGAAAGGGGCCAGGGCAGCCAGAAGGTTCCGAGGTGAGGGGCTCGGGCAGAGTGGATTTCCTGTGCAAGTGAGGACCCTGAGCTCTCGGCAGCACTGCCCAGGGCCATAAAGGAAAAAGAAAATAGAGGGATCTCGCTGATCCTAAGGCTTCAGGTCTGCACGGGGGGCGGGGTACCTGGGTGACCGTGAGGACAGGACCAGCTTCCAGGTTCGCCTTGGGCCTCCGAAGGGGCGGGGTCCAACTGACCCGGGAGGGGAGGGACCCTCCGTGTGGTCCTGCAAGGGGCGTGGGGAAGGCAGGGAGCAAAGCCTCGCTGACAGCCTCCCCATCAGGACTGGGAGCCTGAGCCCCACGCCCGTCCCGGGCCGCTGACCATCCACACCGCTCCACCCTCAGGGCTCTGGTGGACATACTGCGGCATCAAGGGGGTCCTGGGACCCGCCCAGACCGAGCCCGAAGCAGCTCCCTGACCCCGGGGATCGGGGGTCCCGACAGCATGGGCCCCAGGACACCCAAAAACCTCTACAACACCATGAAGCCATCCAACCTCGGTGAGTGGGAGTCTCTCGGCCCCGCCCCCCAGGACACTGCCCTGGGACTGTGCCCGGCCCCGCCACGGAGCTCGGGCTGCAGCTGCGGCTCCGCCCCGGCCCCGCCCCTGGGCCCGGCCCCGCCCCTCCTGGGCAAGCCCTTCCGCGTTGTGGCCCCGCCCCCAGCCTCAGGCCGAGTCTTGGGTTCTTAGCGGCTCTTGGCCGGGCCCTGGGACCTGCTCTGAGCACAACAGTGGAGAAGTCCACTGGCCGAAGGGCCGGAAAGGGCTTCATCTGGCTTGAAGGAAGGCGGTTTCCCCGGAAGTGGTGTTTGAGCAAGGGGCTGGGGTGAGGGGAGCCCCAGGTGGCTGGGAGACCCGAGGCGGGGAGGGGTGAGCTCGCGAGGCCTCAGACCCCAGCTGAGCAGAGGAGCTGCGCCCTTGTCCCGGGGCAGTGGGGAGCCACGGAGGAGCTCAGCGCCAAGCACCCCGCCGGCAGTCGGGGAGGACATCTCTGAATCCGCGCGGAGGGAGAGGCGAGGGGGCTGGGCCGAGAGGAGGCCGGGGTGGTGGTGCAGGCGGCCGGAGGGCACAGAGCTGGGCCTGGTGAACACGAGGCCGCGGGAGCTGCCTTCAGACAGAGGGGACCAGGGGGCTCAGCTTAGCAGCAAATGCCAAGGCCCTGGGGCAGCACGGAGTGGGCCAGGGCAGCCTTAGAGAAAGAGTAGCTGGAGCGAGGGGCGGAGACGGGGCTGCACGCACCAGCCCGGCCAGATGCCATCCCCGGGTGTTTGTCGGCAAGTGCTGGCGAGCCGGGGGTGTCAGCAGGGGTGGCCAGAGGCCGAGGTAGATACTTGGGGGTCAGAAGGGCCCAAGGACTGGCACTGGGGCCGCCCCCTCCGAAGCCACAAGCCCGCACCCGCAGCCCCAGCCTGTTTCCCGCCAGGCCAGTGGTAGGGCGTCACTAGGAGGCCCTGAAGGCCCTGGGTGTGAGATGGCGTAGGGCCAGGATCCTGTGGACACAGCAAGGTGGCACAGCCGGGTCGGCGGTGACGGTGACGTCGCCTCCCTTTTGGTCCCCTCAGATAACCTGCACCACAACTACCTGCACCTCAACGTCAGCAGCCCCACGCACCACGCTGCCACGCTGGGTACGCAGAGGGCTCTGCCGCCTCCTGCTGCAGCCTCAGTGCCCTCCAGGAGGCCCGGAAGTGGTCTTCTCCCTCCCCCCAGGATGGTGGGGTGGCGGGGGGTGCACCCCACGTCCAGGGCAGATGAGGGGTGCAGGCAGGTGCCAGATCCTCACGCGGGAGATGTCTTTCTTCCCAGTGGAGCCCGTCTCCCGGGGTGCAAGGACCTCTGAACTGCCGCAGCAAGGAGCGGCTGGAACCACAGACTTCCAGTCCCCCAGGGCTGGGGTCTGACCCCTGGGCCTGAGGGAGGCGGTGGGACGCCCAGGTCTGAGCAAGGAGGCCCGGCCCGGACCCGGGTCTGAGGGAGGAGGCTGGGCTGACCCGGCCCCTCTGCCGCAGACTGGCGCGCGGTGCCCCCACCCAGCCCCCCGCTGCACTACTCCACGCTGTCCTGCTCCCGGTCCTTCCACAACCTCTCGCACCTGCCCCCCTCCTACGAGGCGGCCGTGAAGTCGGAGCTGAGCCGGTACTCCTCCCTCAAGAGGCTGGGTGAGTCTGCGGAACGCGAGGGCGTGGCCCCAGCGCGGGCCGGGGTCCGGGCCGGGGGTCAGGACCATGCACAGTAGCTCGACCCAGGGGCTCAAAGACCGTCTCCCGGAGCCTGGCGCGGTGGTGCCTGCCTGTAATCCAGCTCTGGGGAGGCTGAGGCCACAGGGTTGGGAGTTCGAGGCCACCCTGAGCTACAAAGGGAGACCCAGTCTCAAAACTCCCAGGCCGGGCGCCCATTTTTGGCCACGCCCACCCCTGAACCAACTGCTGGCAGGGACGGGGCCTTCAAATGCTTTGAACTGAGAGGTCGAGAGAAGACGAGTGCTTCAGATGTCGTGGCCTGTGAGGTCCAGATAGACACACTTTTTTTTAATTACAGAAAAGTTTGAAGCTTTTTATTATGGATATTTTCAAACATTTGCAAGAGTAGAGAGACTGAAACAATGGCTCTCAAGTCCCTGCACCTGCCTCGGCCCTGAGCTTGTAAAGTGACCCCAGCTGCCGGGTCCCCTCACCCTCCACTTCCCGCACGCACGCATCCGAAGCCTCGTCCCCCGACCCCACGGATTCAGAATGCGTTTTCTCTTCTTTGCTATTCCATTTCATTCTTCCAACTGCTGGGCATGCCCCACCGAGCGGCTTCGCAGCGCACCAGGGAGTCACGACTGCAAGTGTGACAGACACTGCTGCAGGGGACGGGCGGGAAGCGGCCCGCCAAGCTGCGCTTCCCTCCCGCAAAGAGGGCTGCGCAGAGCGGAGGGAGGGGGAGGGGAGGG